GGGGGTGGGGTTGCGCCCGGGGCTTGCACTGGCTCTCCCAGCCCCTCAGCAGGCTCTGTCCTCTCCCGCCAGGTGCCGGACATTGTGAGCGTGATCCACAGCAAGCTGCAGGAGGTGGACGAGGAGCACGTGAGGAAGTCAGTGCAGCAGACGGTCTACATCCTGGCCTCCCAGCACTGCACGGCCGTCGTGTGCAGCCTCCTGGGCAGCTCCCTGCCCTTCGACAGGTACCCGCCTTTGCGGTGCGCGCCCGGGGCCCCCTGCACCTCCGCCTGGCTTTGCCGTAAGCCGTCGCTAATCGTTTGGCTCCTGACCCCGGTAATCGGACCCTGCTGGAATTCCCCTCGCACGCTAGAGGATCAGCACGCCCCCTCGCCCTCAGGCCTGCCCGCGCAGAAACCCGCTAATTGCTCACCGGGCTTAGAGGTGTCGAGGCTGAGCTAGCGGGTCTGGCTCCAGAGAGCTCGGCGCGCCTCCCGTTCTGCTCTGCAGCCTCGGCCACCCACCCAGAGCCAGGTGGCCGGGCCAGGGCCTTCCCTCTCCTGCCATGTCCTGGCCGGGCTGGAAGGAGAAGAGCTGCTGCCCCGGGGCAAAGCCATCTACCCGGGGGAGAGTGCTGCGCTGGCAGGAGGGCAATTCACCCTGGCTGTGGCTGCCTGCAGAGGGGACCTGGAGGCTGTCCCATCCCCGCTTCCCTCAGTCAATCCTACTTCTGCATCCCTGTCCATCTTCCTGAGCCTGCCAGGCTCCTCCGTTGGCCAGCGCTGGGTGATTTCCCCAGCAGCATTTGCTCCCCTGCGATAGCTGCCTGCCACGGGCAGACAGGCCTAGGCATCTCCTGGGTAGCTGCTCCTCGGGCTCTGTCCGGCAGCGAGCGACCCACGGCACGCCATGCTAACTGCCCTCCTCCCGTCTGCACGCAGCCAGGCCCGCGTCATGTGGAAGTCGCTGGCCACGGAGCCCACGCTGACGGCCCAGGTCCTGGAGCTGCTCCTGGAGAAGGTGAATCGGGACGTGCCGTACAAGGAGAACAAGTCCTCCCTGCTGAGCAGCGGCTCGGCGCGCGTCGCCACAGTGCTGCCCCTCGCCGTGAGTGTCGGGGTGCCCTTCCCTGCTGCCCCCCTCCCTTCCCAAATGCTTTCTTCATTTCCCCGGCTCAGGGGTTCGTGCCAGGCGCGGAGGCTGGAAATAACGCATCACTGCGTAATGCCTATTAGAGCTAATCCGCGGACTCGTAAAATGCCTCTCAGGTGTTCATCCTCCAGGGGGATCGCTTTGCACTTTATCCCTCCGGAGGAGAAGGCCGAGCCCGGCTCGGCAGCACTCTAAGCAGGAAAGCAGCTGTGGAAATCTCCCCCCTCTCGGAGCCAAGTGCAGATGGCACCGAATCCGTCACGCTGAAAGCAAACACTTCCCCCTGCCCTTCCCCCTGCACTCCTGCCTATTGTGCTGAGTAATTGCTGCTTTGTCAGCCGCCAGCCCCCCAGCCCGGCCCGGGCCGTCTTCCTGCCTGTAAAACCCGAGCTGCTCCCCTCCCCAGGTACGAAGCCCAAGCCCTGCCTTCCACGGCTTGCAAACCTCCAACTGGATGAGTCTTGCGCTGACGGTGGCTGTGGTCTGGGCCGTGGCGATGGCTTGCTGGCTGTCACGGGCTCGCTCCGGGGGGGGTGTGGAGAGCGCACCGCCCTCCTGGCGAGGATAGTATTAACCGGGTTATTTACTGACGGGCATTAGTGCGGAGTGGAAGATCCTCCTGCTAATCCTCTTCTCTCCCTCAGGCCACATGTGCGCTGTATGAGATCATGTCTGCTCTGGAGTCTGGGGCAGCGGTGCTCGGGCTCTACCCACAGTTGTTTGTGACTCTCCTGTTGCGAGTCAGCTGCACCGTGGGTGTCCAGCTCCCCAAGAACCTGCAGTGCAAGGAGAGGAAGAGCGCCAGCCACGGCCCCGTGCCCAGGCCCCTGGACCCTTGCAGGTAACGAGCCGGGGGCGCCAGGCTGCAGAGGCAGGAAGGCAGCCCCTGCCTCAGCCATGTGGAACCAATTTGTTTGCATAAACATAATAGCACATGCTGCATTTGTGCAATCTGATGGTTGGATAATAACCCACGGCCCATAACACATTAGGTATGAAGGCCTGACCTCTGCCGCGTGCTTAGACCCCGGGCTGCCACGGAGCAGAGCCTCGAGAACAGGGGACGTTAAATGGGCTGCTCCTGCAGCCACGATGGCTTGCGCTGGCGTGCCCGTGCACTGCTGCGCTGAGCTACTGCCCGCCCCTGCTGGCGTCTCCCGTCGCGCGTTTCCTTCAGGTACAAGCGTTGTCTCACTCTTGTCGCTCCCAAATAAAACGGGTGCTTGCTTCTCACCCATGTGCAAAGGAAGGTTCCCCAGTGTCCCCCTCCCTCTTCTCCCCTTGCAAAGCAAAGGCCCCGCTGCCTGCACCCGTCTGCAGAGACCGGGCGATGCGGTCTCCTCGTGCAAGGTGCATGTGGCTGTGCCTTGGCCCAGCGGCACTTCCACGCTGCGCTCTCAGGTGAAAGCCACGCAGCCTCCACAGCTGGTCTGCAGGCTGGGAAGCTGGGCAAGTCCCCGGGGCTCTTGCCTATCACTGGAGCTGTCCTCCAAGCGCTGTGCCTCCCAGGTAGCCTTCTGTCAGTCTCCTGGCCCGCACACGCAGGGCTCCGCTGATCCACAGCCCCTGCGCCCTTCCTGGGCCTCTACCAAAGAGCCAGCCTTCTTCAGGGCCTGGCGCCTCTTTAGGCAGCCTCCTGCTCTCCCAGGCACCAGGCTGCTCTCGGTGCCTCAAGCCCAGGGTCCCAGCCAGCCTGCGGCACTGTCGTGGGGAGATGGGCACGGGCCGAGGAGTCTGTTACCATCTTGACCATGAACAAACGTCATTATCTGCTGGTCAGAGGTGACCCGTCGGCATCCTGGGAAGGCCCCACCCCAGCTTTGATGTTGGGCTGCGATACCTGGTGTCAGGTATTTCTTTGTCGACTCTGATGCAGCTGCTCGCAAGAGCATCTCCGTGGCAGCCGGCAGGAGTCCTGCTGGGCAGGCCGCTTGCTAGGGCTACTGGTCGGCTGCACTGGTGCTCGGCCTTTTGGTCCTGCAGGCCAGAGGAGTAGATCAGGGCCCCGCACTGCTGCTGGATCAGGCCCTGCACCTGACCTTGTGCATGGGGCCATGCTGTTTGGCTCACGGGGCTCTCCAAAGCTCTGGAAATTTGGCAGCAGCTACTGCTACCACTGCTCCCCTGCCTCCAAAATACAGGAGCCACAGGGAAGCCTGGGGAGTAGGGAGCAGGCTGGATGCGGCCCCTGCACGGGTGTTGAGCATCCTGGTCTATGGGCTTTAGGCGAAGTGGGAAGACAAGTTGGGACAGAGAGAGCAGGATGCAGTGGCGTGGTCCCGTGGGGTTTGTCTGAACGCGGGAGCCCTTCTAGAATAACATGAAACGAGGGAGGCAGCGCAGCTCCCCCAGCACCTCCATGGGCAGCAGCCCCTGGCATTTGCTTGGCTCATGTAGTCGTAGAGTCACAGGCAACAAGGGCTGGCAGGGACCTCAGGAGTCATCTAGTCCAACCCCCTGCTCCAAGCAGGACCAGCCCCAACTACATCATCCCAGACACGGCTTTGTCCAGCTGGGTCTTAAACATCTCCAAGGATGGAGAGTCTCCCCTCTCTCTAGGTAACCTGGTCCAGTGCTTTACTACCTTCCTAGTGAGAGGTTTTCCTAATAGCCAACCTCAGCTTCCCTTTCTGCAACTGGAGCCCATTGCTCCTTGTCCTGCCATCTGCCCCCACTGAGAGCAGTCCAGCTCCATCCTTTTTGCAGCCCCCCCTTCGTTCTACCCCTTCCTGTTTCTTCTTGTTATAAATACTGACGTGGCTTGTGCAGGGTTGTGACTGGCACGAGGGTCCTGTGGCATCTCAGGAGAGTTCAACAGCTTCTGGTTGTTTCCCCTCCACCGCAGGGTTTCTGTCTCTTGGCCGTGGCCCTTCCCTCCTGAAGGCTTCCACACTGCTGCAAGGGGGTCCTCGGGACCTGAGGGCAAGATGGACCCGCGGCTCCTCTGACTCGCCCGCTGTCATGGGCTGAGCACAGCCCAGGACCGGGTAAAAATGAAGAACGTGGTCTCGAAGAGCTCCATGCTGGTGGCCCCGGTGATCCTTGCAGCTGGTGCGTGGTGCTTCGTTCACAGGTCAGGCCACTGCCCCTGGGCCCGAGTTTCGTGAGCAGCAACCCAGGCCTTGCAAGAGACTCCTCAGCCAGCACCAGGAGGCCTCGGCACCCCGTTGGCCGAGGGCGCCTCGCTCCGTGTCTGCTCCACGCTACGCACAACTGCTGCTTCGGGGGAAAGCGGAGCCAAGACAGGCGCAGGCCTCCGTTCGGACCCTGCGGGGGACTGTGCTGGCATCCTGCGTGCACTGGAGGAAGCGCGGGACATCTTTGTTTGGGCAGGACTGCGATCCGGTGCCCGGTCCCAACCTGCACATGGACTAGAGAAGTCCCAAAACCCAGATCAGAGCACCACTCGGGACCTGCCAGTCTTCCCTGAGACTCCAGGGGCCAGAGAAGGGCTGCGTTGTCGTCATCGTTGGCAATCCCTCAGTGCGAGGATAGTCTCTACCACGGCTCACTGATGGTCTGGAGGTGACTGAAGAGTCCAGTCCTCGAGCCACGGATCCATCCACAGAAGCTGCAGGTCTTTCCTCGGGGGGAGCAGGCTGCAGGCTGGGCTTTCTCTCCATTTCCTTCCTCCGCTCTCTTCTCTGCTTCGAGGGCAGACGAGTTTAATTTCGCGCTGTGATGTTTGGAGGGCGGGGGACCCCCAAACCTGCTGCCTAGGAAGCTCGTAGCTGGCGTGCAGGGGAGGCTGTGGGGTGCCAGAGGTGAGAGTCCCTGTGGCAGGTGCTCCCCTGGGTGAGGGGGGTGCTGTGCCCCAAGGCCTTGCTTCCTCCTCCCCGGGGGTCACTTGGGCTTTGCATTTTTTCGTGGCCCCGTTTGCCTTGCAAGGAGGGTCTGCGAGGGCACGGCCACAGCTGGTCCAGGAGTCGCTCACCAGCGGCACCAGGGTGTCTTCACTGAGGTGCTGCCACCTTGAAGCAGGGGAACGGTTTGGGCGCTGAGCAGCACTGGTGGCGCTGAGCCCTGCTCCTCCAAGCTGCTGCCATTTCTGCGGGTGACTTCAGTGCAGACGTGACTAATGGAAACGGGCCGTTATGCTGGAGCAGCGCGGCTCGGATTAGGGTTTTATTTAGACCACATGTTAAAGCAGGACAGCTTGGTTAACGAAGTCCAGCTCGCCTCGGGGCAGTGGCTGCCTCCCCGGATGCCCCGGGGCCAGCGCTGTCCGAGGGTCCCGGCACGGTGGCACTTGCTGTGCTCCCCGGTACCCGGTGTGCAGCGCCCTCGTGGCCTGCCCCACTCACTCCCTCCTCCGCTTCCTTTGGCTTCGGCCTGGCGCGGCCAGGACTGCCTGTTCTCAGCTCTCGTCTCCTTAACGACTTCTGGAAAAGGCGCTCGGCGAGATCTCGGCCAGACCCCAGACCACCACAACGTGAGGAATACTTGGAGCCGTGTGGTTGCCTCCCAGAGAGCGAGAGGCCGGAGCCAGAAGCTACACGTCTCCCTCCAAAAATATCTGGGCTTTCCGAAGCGCTCTGGGGCCAGGCACCGAGCTGGGCGTGATGGCCGCCGGCCTGGCTGTGGTCAGCGGTGTTGGGGTTGCAAGAGGAGCAGAAACGATGCTTCTTCCCTGGTGCCTCGCACTAACGGTCCAGGCCCCGACCCTCTAACCTTGCCTCAGGACAGAGAGGGCAGGCGAGGAGCTCCTGGCGTCCCCTGCAAGCTACCACGCAGTCATCGCCGACGGGACTCCCCGCCCCATCTTGTGGGAGCTGGTTGCTCCCTGACGAGCTGCTGGGACTGCGGTTCCTTTTGCAGGAGCGCCCTGGACCTCATTGCCCCGCAGGCCCTCGCTGCAGGAGCGCTGCCTTGCTTTGTCCTCCAAAGCACGTGTGCCCCAGAGCTGAGCTGGGCAGGAGCCTTTGGGAGGCTGCTTCTCTGCTCCGAGCGCCTGCAGCGGGGCGCCTTGTCTTGATGGTCCGCCCTCCCCGCCCCTGTCCCCGTGCCCTTCTCTGTACTGTTTTGAGTTCATTTCTATCCTTTGAGGTGTGGGGACCAAAACTGCCTTCAGGGGCCCTAGCAAGCATTGCATTTGTGGCACTAATCATGTGGCAGGGTGTAAGCTCATCAGCACAGCCCTGATTCCCCAGCTGTTTGTACCACTGGCAGCTGGGGATGGGGCAGTTTCTGGCACCCCTGCACACATGCACCCCATGGCCTGAGCAGTTGGGGTTGTCCCTTCGTGAGCACGGGGGGAGCCTATCGCCTGATAGGCTTCCTGCGTACCGGCAAGTTAAAGCGGTGCCGCAGGAAGCACGGTATCGGGTCAGTGCAGCAGGGGTGAAAGGTACTTGCTCTTGGGAGAGTCGAGCAGGTCACTTGTGGCTCTTGCTCCCGGGACTCGGTCTTGTTCTTCCTAGTTACCTGCCCAAGAAGCTGAAAGGCGGCTTCACACGGAGACCCTCAGACATGGCTGCAATCGGGGAAGCCTTATTCCAGGCTTGTGCAGAGCACTTCCGCTCTCCAAAACAGCCACTTGCAGCTGCAGGTGTTTCCACCGAGCAGCGATTATCGTTGGAGCGCTGGTAGCGGCCGTAAATCACGAGTAGCCCCGGGCTCGCGCTTTGGGAGCGTGACGCTCTGCCCACCAACGGCAGAGCTGTCGTGGCCGGTTGCTCTGTATCCCAGGCCCTGGGGTTTGATTCTGCTTTTGCTTCGCTGGGCGCGGGTGAGCAGGTAAACTGGCTGCGCGCCAGCAAAACCGCTGCCGATTGGCGGGGGGAACGGGGGATAGCTCACGTCCAAGGTGCAGAAAAAATGCCGAGATGTGAAATTCCAGGCTTGTCCCAGGAGCAGGTTACAATATCAAAGTAATTTCCTGCGAGTGTTTCGATTTCTAAGCCTCCATGATCTTTAAATGCCAAAGAGAGGTGGTAAAGGTGAATATGATAGCTTGGCAGGAAAAGGCCTTGGAAGACACGGGCTTTTGTTGGAAAGGCAGGAAGTGTCTATGGGACACGTTCATTCACAAGGTTTGTTTTTTCCACCGATGCCTTCAGCCATCTGTCTTGGGGCTGCTGCCTCGGTCCGTGCCGCGGACGGCTGGAACGGGGCGTTTCTGGAGCGCAGGCTTCTAACCCGCTCGTAGCCGGGCCTCCGCTGTGGGCTGCGTGCACGTGCTCAGCACCGTCCCGTCTCCCTGGCTAATGCTGCTGGGGCCCGGTGCTGGGGCACTTTGCTCAAAGGGATCGAGCAGGGCACGAGCCGGAGGGCTCGTCGACTCTGCAGGCTCCAGCCTGGTGGATGGAGAGTGGCCTGTTCGTGGGAAAGCCAGCTTTGGGCCTGCTCTCCTTGCCAAGCAAAGGCTGCTAATCCCTGTGGGGCTGCTGTTTGCGTCGGGGACTCGCAGCTTTCTGGGATGGGGCAGAAACGTGCCAGCATCTTGCACTTGCTTAATGCAGTCCGTGCGGTTTCTGACTGTTGCCCGGCCGGCCCAAGTGGCTTCCTGCAGAGCCTCCTGCGAGTGTTTAATTCCCAACGGCTTTGCAGGAGCTCTGTGCGTGGCCGTGGAAGGTGGTGCTATAGCAGGGCTTTGGGCTGGGGTAGCTGTGAGCAGTGCCAGCGGCACGTGCGCTCCTCATCCTGCCCGGGTTGGTAGCGTGTCCCGTGGCAGCACTGAGGGGCAGAGGGTTTCTGCTACTGGGCCAGAAGGCCAAAAGAAAGGCAGCCCTGTTATTCCCGGTGTCCTTCCCATGGGGCGTCAGACACCTGAAATGACCTGGGAAACCGGCTTCTGAGCCAGCCGGACTCGCGGCCCTGCAGCTGCTGCTGGATGCTGGGTCCGTGATTTGAGAAACCAGGCTGGACTGACTCAGCCCTCACTTGTACATCATTTTCCCCACCTTGTTCTGTAGGAAACGCACCATAACTCGGCATAGTCCTGAACGTGGTGTCACTTAGTACAGAATCACAGACAGCGAGGGCTCAAAGGGACCTCAGGAGCTCACATCTAGTCCAACCCCTGCTCCAAGCAGGACCAGCCCCAACTACATCATCCCAGCCACGGCTTCATCAACCCAGGTCTTCAAAACCTCCATGGATGGAGACTCCACCACCTCTCTAGGAAGCCTGCCCAGTGCTTCACCACCCCCATCATGAGAGTTTTTCCTCATATCCAACCTCAACTTCCCTTGCTGCAGCTTGAGCCCATTGCTCCTTGTCCTGTCATCTGCCCCCACTGAGACCAGCCCAGCTCCACCCTCCTTGCACCCGCCTGCAGGGAGGTGAAGGCTGCTGTTCAACCCCCCCTTGGTCTGCTCTTCTGCAGACTAAATGAGCTCAGTTCCCTCAGCCTCTCCTCACCAGTCCTGTCCCCCAGCCCCACAACCATTTCCGCTGGACTTTCTCCAACGTGTCCACGTCCTTTCTGTAGTGGGGGCCCACAGCTGGACACAGGATTCCAGATGTGGCCTCCCCAGTGCTGAATGGAGGGGAAGGATCACGTCCCTGCATCTGCTGGCAACGCTCCTACCGATGCAGCCCAGGATGCCGGTCGCCTTGTTGGCACCAAGGGCTCACTGCTGGCTCCTGTCCAGCTGCTTGTCCCCTGCAACCCCCAGAACAGTGGTTATAAAGCTCTAGTGGAAACTTTGCATGCCGTGGCCAAAAGTGTTGGTAGCAGGAAGGTCATCGAGGCTTTGGGCTGTAGAGCAGAGCAGCTGTGGTGTGCCGCAAGAAGTGCGTCGTGGTCTGTCTGCACTGGACTGCAGGCTGCCTCGCCTCAGCTTTTGCGTTGTTGCCCCAGCGGCTGGCGTGTCAGGTCCTGCTCTGCAGACCTCCTCCCTTGGGGAGAGGGCTCTGGGGCCAGGTGCTGCCCGTCACTGCAGGCAGAGCTGGTGATGATGCGAGACCCTGGGTTTTCCAGCTCGAGTGACACGCACAAGGCAGGAGTTGTCGCCTGTCCATGAGGTCCTCTTAGTGCTATGGGCAACATCCTGAACCAGCAGGCTTGCCTGTAGTGCCCCCAGGCCCTGTAATTAGCTGATGCTTGCAAGGGAAGTGGGGCTACGAGCTGTACCCAGTCCCTGCCGTAGCAGCTGGACAATCGGGTCTTGGAGCGGCTCGGCTTCCTTCAGCGTCGCCCCCTCCGCAAACCCTGCACGTGCCGAGCAAATCGGGGTTCTTGATGCTTCCTGTTGATGCCTGGGGGTGCTGGGGTGAAGGTGGACGTCTGCTTCGGGAAGACAAGGGCATCTCTTAACGGAGGCGAGTTGGAGTGAGTGACCCCCTTCCTGCCACCCATGCGTGGCTCTTCTCTCCCGGCCTCTCAACGCAATTCCCTCCGGCTGAGAGCATCTACCCAGCACCGAGCCGTCCTCTGAATCGTCAGTCTAACCTCGCCTGAGGCAAGTCAGCCACTGCTCCAGCGCTGCGCTCTTCCCTTGAAGGTAATCGCGGGCGCGGGCGTGGGCTCCCTTCCTATCTAGGAAGAGACGTCTCGCCCAGCCTTGGCCATTAGCTCTTCGTGGCACTTTGCAGCACGCAGCGGCTTTCCTGCTCACACGGCTGCTGACCCTGCTCCAAGGAAGGTAACCAGATAAAAGGGTGCAAATTAAACGCAGGAGAAAACGGCTGGAAAAAAAACTTTGGCGGTTGCCTGTATCCACTTATTTTCCATGCATATGATGGATCAGTATTTATTTTCCATAGCGAGCCTGGACTCTGGACAGTGCTGGAGAACAGATTATATGCTGTTCATGAAGGAGAGCCAGGATCTCCCGGGTTTTTGGGGTTTTTTTGCAGTTACAACTTTGTAGAACATGGCTGTAAAGGCACCGGCCACGGACGAACACCAAAGCACGTTCGCTCTGGTCACCCCCGCTAATCCCATACCTCTCGGGCCTCCAAGCGCTGATCCTCTTCCGTCGCTGCTTAATCCCAGCTGCAGAGCCCGCGAAAATAGCCCGCATTAAAGGGCCCGTGCTCGGAGATGCTCTTTCGAAGCGCCTGCTTTATGCGTGTGGTCAGTGCAGTCCTCGGCCTTTGTGTACAAGCCTGAGATCCGTCCGTGACTAATGCTGGTGGTGTTCTGACAGGATAATGTATGCTTCCCATATGGCGCTCTGTGCTCGCAGCAAAATAATCCCTGCCTATAAAATAGTAATGCAAAAAAACCCTCCCTAAAGCAGTTCTGGACTTCTTTACTTTTCAGTCCATTGTCTTGGATCAGTTTAACGGCACATGTCACCGTGTAAATGGAAGTAGCAGTGAGTTATGGACTTGTCTCACTCCAGCTAAAGCCCTCCCATAACTCATTCAGTCCTCAAGTACCCTAACGCCTCTGAATAACCCCCTAGTCCACTGGTCCCCTCAGAGAGTCTCCAATTGACTGGTGAGACATGCCAAGCTCTGCTCTGGCTGGCGGCTCGGTTTGCTGCAAATGAAACCTGTTTCGGGCCGTCTTCACGAAAGAACGACCAGGAGGTGACTTTTTTCCTCTCTCTTTCCAGCTGTGCTGTGGAAACCCTGAAAATCATGCTGACCCAGGGGGGCAGTGCAGACGTAACGAACGCCGTGGCCAGCGCGGACGGCTGGGACCTGATGAAATGCCCTGAAAGGCACCACGATGGGGTTGCCCTGCTGGCCAGGTAAGGAGGCAGCGCGCGTGCCCCCGCGGTTCGGAAATGAGGCCAGACCGATTCCTGCAATGGGGCCTGCAGGAGCGGGGCTGCCGGCGCGGGAAGCGGGGCGTCACGCCAAGGCAGAGCAGGAAGGAGAGGCTTCTGGGCCCACGTGATGGAGGATCCCTCTCTGGGTGTCTGGGCCAAGCGCGGCACAAGGGCTGGGGCACAGCAAGGGGCTCACAGACGGACCCAAGGCTGCCCTCCTCGCAGCGCGACATGGCGGGAGGGCCAGGGCGGGAGCTGGAACTCGGTGCCGCCGCAGGAGGCTCGCGAGAGCAGCTCGGGGTGTGAGTTGGCTGGAGGGAGGAGAGCACGGGGTGAAGAAGGGAGGCAAGGGCCACGAGCCTGCTCCGTGCGCACGTCGGATCTCGCAGCAGGACGCGGAGATGAGGGCGTGCAACCTCTGCCAGAGGCGGGGGCCGGGGCGAGGCTTCGCTGTGGGCAGGTGGTGCTGGGGAGGCCTGGCCTCCAGACCGTGGAGGGGAAGAGGGCGGAAGAGGGCTTCAGAGAGGAGCTCTCGCTCTCCCCTTCCGGCCCGAACTTGAGCCTCTAACACCCTGTGCCGTGATTGAGGGACCGGGCAGCTCTGAACCTGGTCCCAGCAGCAATGGGGAAGGCCGTGTTCATGGCAGACTCGTATCCAGCCATCCCCACACGTGGGCTCAGGCCTCCTTTCCACAGGGCAAGCCAGGGGAGAGGCGTCCCGCTGGACCCTGGCCCTTGCTCAGCGTGCAGGCTGCTTGCACGGGGCGAGCATTCGCACTCCAGGCGCAGGCTCCAGCACCGTCGCAGAGCCCGCGCCCTCCGAGCGCTCGGACCTGTGCTCTCTCCAGTGCGGGGGGAGCCCTCCCGGGCCGCGGCTGTGGGAATTGGGCAGGGAGCAGGAGCCTTCCAGTCCCTTGCCCGGTTGAGGCTGTGGGCGCGGGGCCAGTCGGCTTGCAACCAGGGGAGCTGCCCCACCTGGAAAGCCCTCGCCTGAGGCAAGGTGGGGCAGTTGCCCTCTGGCAGACGGGGGCAGCTCCGGGCCCATGCCCGCAGCATCGCCTCCGTTCACAGCCTGCGGTCTAGCCCAGGGCGATAACGCCCGTCTGACTCCAAGGCGGTCGGTCTTGCATGCTGCTTAACAGCCTCGTGTTTCCACTTCTAGCGCCATGGCCAAGCACGCCGGCCCCAGGCTCCCTCTGATCGTGAAGAACCTCCTCCCGGTGCTCAACAGCGTCTACGACATCCAGCGCATCACCACCACGGCCTTCTTCGCAGAGGTAGGCGCCACGCGGGGGCTGGCGGCACGCGGGAGGGCAGGGCACGGCTGCTGGGGTTGGCGCCATTGTCCGGAGACGAGGTCCGGCCGCCTCTCCGGCCCCCCCGCCCCTGCGTTAAAGGGACTGGCATGGAAGAGCCGAGGGGCGTCCAACTCTGAGCGCATCGCCGCGCGAGCCAGAACTCAATCCTCCTTACGTACCACCTTAAAGAATGAAGTGACTCAAGTCCTTTCCCCTCGCCGGGCAGCACCGGGGCCAGCAGACTGTAACCCTATCTCCCCGCGCATACCACCTTAAAACCCCGGGCTGCTCCAGTCGCTTCTGTTACATAAAGCAGCGCGCCCTGCCAACAACGCAGAACTGTATCCCTGCTTATAAACCACCCTTTAAATTCTCAGCTGCTGAAGCAGCCCGGGATTAGGGCCCTGTTTTTATTTTGTGTTTGGCTGCGGGAGGCGGACGGCCGGGGGCTGGAGCCCGGCCCAGAATCTGCTTCAGTTCTGGCGTGCGGTTGGCTCTCCGCATCCTTGAAGGGTTTAAAATAGCAGCTTTGCCTCACCGTGGAGCTGGAGGGGAAGGAAGCAGATGCCTGTGTCTCCCTCTCCCTGAAAGCTGATGAGGTGAGAGCTGCAGTCCCTTCGCTTGCGGCCGTGCCAGCGCCTGGGATGACAAAATGGAAGTGAAGGAGGAAAGGAGTGTCCTGGGCTTGGCAGCCGGAGCTTGCAGTATGGGGACGTGGACGACGGGCACTTCCAGCTGCCTGGGCGGCCACGCGCAGCCCCCTCCCCACCCCAGGTCTCTTCCTCCTCTCTCCTGAGGAAGTGCTCAGGCATGGGCCTCTCTTGTCCTGGACCCCGCAGTACGAGGGGAAGGGGCTCCACGGCTCGGGGCCGCTGCCTGAGTGTCACTAACTCCATCCTGGGAGCAGGAGCTATCCTTGGTGGCTGCCACGCTCCGGTATCTCACCACTCCTCTCCCGGGGCCTTCACCGCACCTGCCTGAGGCACGAGGGGTCTCGCGTGCCCTCTGGACGGCGAGGGGCAGGGGCCGATTCCAAGCCTGGAGCAGCTGGCCTGACCCGCACCAGTCTCATGGGGAGGGGAGCAGATCCTGAAGCCAGTGGCCTGGCACCATAGTGCGTCCAAAGGCTTCCTGAGCCATCTGAAGCTGCTGGGCTCCCCGAGTGTGCAGCTGGGTGCCGAGAGGCATGTGCCCAGGACATCCTTGCACTCCCGCAGGGTCTGAGATTGCCCGGCGAGCAAAGCGCTTTGGGCCAGGCACGCGGGAGCCAGGAGCGATGCATCTCGCCCCGAGCTCTGCTTCCGCCGGTCAGGCACCATCGCTGGCATGTGCTTGCGTAACCTGGCGGACAGGCGGTGATTTGCACTTGGCCCGAAGGGCTGGGAACGCGCTGGACCAGGGACAAGGAGCTCCTGCAACAGGCCATTAGAGCGTAAGACAGGCAGGGGCCTTCTGGTCGGATCCAGGCCCGGCAGGCCGCTCCGGTCCCGCTCAGGCACGCGTCGAGCTGCCGCAGATGTGAGCACAGCTGCTCCTCGCAGCCCTGCCGTCAAGCCGGGGCCTTTGATCGGCAGCCCCGGGCCCGAGCTGCCTGCAGCCCTCCTTCGGCAAGCACGCCTCGAACCCACCTCCCCGGGCTTGTCTGTGCTGACAGCGCTTGACAGCAGCTCCTGGCCAGGAACGTCTCCCTGTGCCTCGTCAGCTCTGCCTCCCTCTCCCGGCCTGCGAAGCAGCAGGCTGTACGGGAAGGATGTGCGGGGAGTTGAGACTGCAGCTGCTGCTTCGTCTCCCTCCAGCCCTGGATCTCTGAATAGCTCCCTAAAGCCAGGGGGCCAGTAGGATGATGTGCCCTCCCACCCCTACGCCCACAGCACGGGCCAGTGCTACCTGCACCCAGCCTGCATCTTCTCAGGCTAAAACAGCTGGACCATCCTTTGCTCAGGGTTGACCATCTGTTTTCTGTTCCTGTAAGAAGGGGGAGGCTTTTCTGCAAGCACCGCTGTGGTGGCCGGTCATCCCAGGAGCGCAGATCTACGCTGGAGACCTGGTCCAGCTGCGCGGCCTGGCAGCTGGCCTTTGCCTCTCCAGGAAGGGAGGATTTCTTAGGGGGACGGATCGATCTCTTGCTGGACCAGCCGCGTACTTGGGATAAAGTGACGGCAGCTTTCGAATGCCAGGCGTTCTTGGTCAGGTCCCAGCGCAGAGTGGAGGGGCAGAGAGAAATCTCTGGGATATCAGGCATGCAATTAGCATAAGAAAAGAAGCTGATTACTGGGAGATCAGGGCCTGTGAAAGGGAGGGGAGTGTTTGTTCCCACGTTCAGGCTTTGCAGGTGTTAGGTAGGTTTCCCGAGGAGCAGGGGCTGCTCTGGGAGAAACGCGCTCTTAATGGTCAGGCATGCATCTCCATCCCTTTATCTTTTTTTTCCCTATGAGTTTTTGTGGGGATAGTTGCTGTTTACTCCCAGCGCGTAGGTGCCGTGAAATCAAAACTCATGGGAGAAGTGATATCTTTTATTAAACCAACTAGGTATTTGCAAACAAACGGCTTTATTTATTTGCAAGCTTTCGGGCACAGTCGCCCTTCGTCAGGCCTGGGAGAGAGCAGAGATTGTGCGAGTTCTCCTAGGTAGAAATGCTGAGTGCGCTGGAGCAGATGCACCGCGTTTGCTATCCGGCGCATCACAAAGGCATGTGTAGGAAGCAGGGACTCTTGCTGGGGGTGTTGGTAGCGGTGGCAGCGGAGATGCGCTTGACACGTCAAGCGTTTCTTAAGGCTCAGGCTGAGTCCTTCTTGATGCCTGTTGGGCACTGGAGAATTTGCTTCTGGTGATGGCAGAACAGGGAGCGACCGTCTCAAGTTGCAGCAAGGGAAGTTGAGAAAATCCTTCCCAATATCTAACCTCACTAGGAGGGTAGGAAAGCACTGGGACAGGTTACCCAGAGAGGCAGTGGACTCTCCGTCCTTGGAGGTGTTTAAGACCCGGCTGGACAAAGCCTTGGCTGGGACGATGTAGTTGGGGCTGGTCCTGCTTGGAGCAGGAGGTCGGACTAGATGTCCCTTCCAGCCCTGGTTGTCTGTGATCCTGTGAGCTGGGCACGGTTGGAGGCTGTTTGAGAGCCAGGAGCGGAGGGGCCGGACTGTTTCTCTCGAGGTCTGATCTTTGTGGCGCGCAGGCTGCAGCTGCTTGGCAGTTCTTCGGATCGGCTCCGGCGCGGGGTGGTCGGTGAGCACCAGCCCCGAGCAGGGACCTGACAAACAGCGGCTTGCAGGTGAGAGCTTGTCTAACTATCCCAGCTGCGTAGCTGGTCCAATAAAAGACATCCCTGCCTCCCGCAGTTCCTGGCCCATCACAGCTACAATATTGTATCCCTCCAGCTGGTCTAATAAAAGAGATCCCGTCTACCGAAAGAGATCCTCCAGGAAGGCATTGAGGCTGCCTCCGACTACACGGCCTCAGCACCTCCCTCCCAGCATCCTGGAGCACCGTGCCTGGAGGAGGAGCCGAGCCGGGCCGGCAGGGCGGCAGCCTCCCAGCCGGGCAGACGGGTCCGAAGGCCCAGAGCTCCAGGGCCTGGCCCAGTTCGGGCCGGGGAAGAAGCTTCTGGCAGGGATGAGAGCCGACCGCCACAGGCTTGGTGCAGACCCGTTTCCCCAGCTGGAAGGGAGAGAGTGACCCAGGATCTTTTCTTGCCGCCTTGTCTCGGCTGGGAGGGGACCCGACGGGGGAGCTGCAAGACCAGGCGGTGTTTCTGTTCACACCCCACCTGCCGGACCTTGGTCCGTTAGCTACCGCCGTGGTCCTCGCCCGTGCCGAGGCCTACGGGCCTTACTCCTGCAGGGCTTGGGGGGTGCTTGGCTGGCCTTGCTGCAAGCCCTGGTGTTGGAGCCATGACTCGGGGGTGCCCCGTGGCAGACCTTGCTGCCCTGCAGCGGCCGGGAGAATTTGGCCCCAGCCTCTCAGCTGCGCGCTGGCTCCAAAACTCCCGCTCGGTTCTCACAAGCGTCTGAGCCATTTCCCGCTGCTGCGGGCAGGTGCCTGGAGTGAAGGCAAGGTGGGAAGTATCTGGGGAACTGGCCGGGCCACGGAGCGCACGGCTCCAGGGCAGGGGGAGGTCGGGTGTTGGGGTCTGTGCCACGTCACAGTGGGCACGACCCAGATCCAGGCCCCCGCGGCGTCGCCGCGCCACCCTGTTCACGCCGCGCTTCTCCTCTGCCTTCCAGCTCCTCAGCAGCAACGTGGTGAACGACCTGGTGCTGCTGGAGTCCATGATGGACAACATGACGGGCCGGCAGAAGGACCCCTGCACGACCGTGCGCATGCTGGCGCTCCGCGGGCTGGGCAACATCGCCTCCGGGTCGCCAGAGAAGGTGGGTGCCGCCCGTGGGGGGGCCAGCCCCGGTCCGCAGCCACCCGCGGTTCTCGGGGCGCATCGTTCCCAGAGGCAGGTGCCAGCGCTCGGCCCCGAAGTCTGGCTGGTCACTGGCCCGTCTGTCTCGCTGGGGAGAGTTAAGGCAGCCCCGGGCTATGGCCAGAGGCTCGGGCAGGCACTGCCGGGTTGAGCGGGGCCGCCTCTGAAGCCCAGGCTCTTGGCACAGGCTCGTGGCAGCCTCCTGCACGCACCGGTTCACTGAGCCCCCCATCCTGAGCCGAGTCGGGCACCAGGCGACGGGGGCTGGCTGTGGGGAGGCCGGTGGGTCGCAGTCGGGCTAAGTCGCTGCAGTTGTTCCAGTCTCTGCTGCGTCTGCTCGCTAATTAGCCATTGAAGGCCCAGCACACTCGTCTGCCCCTTCTTAGGGATGGGAGCGCGCCCGGCCAAGCCCTGTGGTTCCTCCTCGGCCCCTTGGCATGGCCCAGCACCCGGGGGCATGGCGGGTTCCTCCCAGCCCCTGCAGGAGGGCGGCCTGGGCTCCCAGCCGTCCCCGGGAGGGTCTCGGGGCACCTCCGAGACCTGGGAAGTGGCTTCCCTCCTGCGGGCCCGGCCCTGGCACCTCCGGCGCAGGCGCCTCGTGCTGCCGGGTCTGCCGTGGCCCCGAGCCGCCTGCGCTAACCCCTCTGGCTCCTGTACCTGCTGCCTAATCTTCCCCAGCTCATGGACTTGGCAAGCGCTCCGCTCCTGCGCTCGGGCCTCTGCCAAGCCCCGGGAAGAGGTCGTGGACAGTTCAGCCCTAAGGCAGACAATAAGCTACTGTGATCTGCCACTAAAATAGAAAGAGCTGCTAAAAATACCGCGCTGCTGGCGGAGCCGCGTCAGAGCCGTCGGCTCCTGCTCCTCGTCCTGGGGGAGCAGGGCAGAGCGCTCCCGGGGGCAGCCTGAACGGGCTTCTCGTCCATCCGCTGCCACCTGCACCCGCGCCCGTGTCTGTGCCCGTGCCCATGCCCGTGCCTGCCTCTGCAGCAGGGCACCCCACTAACATCCCGGGACCAGAACGGCTGCACTCGCGCCCCGGAGACGGAGCAGGCCCCTGTACAGTGGGGTAACAAGCCGCTTCAGGCCCCAGGCTGCTTGCACCATCGCGGTTTGTGGGCACTGATGTGGCCTGGTGGAAGGGAGATGTTTCGGGTCTCTAGAGATGCCCTTTCCCTTGGCTTGCCTTCGCAGTGCCCTGCCCTCTCCCACACCTGCTACCGAGAGGCTGCAGGGCAGCGATTCTCCGCGTGGGTGCTGAGCACCGCGGGGCGCGTAGAGCTCCTTTCTGCGGGGATGCGCTGCGGTGTTGGCACCACTGGGTTTGCAGACATGATTTGCAAGACGGGCCCCGAGGCACCGGGCATCCGTGGCGTGCAAGCGTTCTCACCTGCTGAGTTTAGCAGAGTGGTTTGCAACCGGCTCTGTTTTTCCGTTGTCAAAAACTAGCAAAAGCGGCACTTTCTGAGGGGGCTGGAGTCTGCCGAAGCTGAGAACTGCTGCTTGAAGGAGCGGGAGGACTGCAACCCAGCATCCTATCCTGGATCTTGCCCGGACCATTAGGGAAGAGCCGGCGGAGGTGGTGGGAACCTTGCGAGCCAGCAGTTGCGATACGATTGAAGTTGCGATCCTGAGGTGGTGAAAGCACAAGGTTTGCACAACTAAGATGCTAGGTTTGCAAAGGAGGCAGATTTAAACCGGCTCAAGGAGCTAGTAGGCACGGGGATAGGTTGAAGGACTAAGGCGCCCAGGAGGGCTGGGAGCCTCTGAGGGGCACAGGATTGGAAGCTCGACAAGAAAGTGGACAACTCGACAACGGACGCACACGAAGAATGGCAAGAGGCCAGCGTGGCTGCGGAAGGAGCTTCGAGGATGTCTCAAGCGCAAGAGGAGAAAGCAGGCGGGCACGGAGGGACGGGCAGGCCACCAGGAATAGCAGGAGCCTGCAGAAGGCAAAGATGAAGAGCAAACTGCGCCAGGCCAAGGAGGCCAAGGACAGCACGACGAGGATCCACAAGGATGCTGGCCAGAAAAGAGAGGCCAAGGAGCTGGGGGTCTGCCGTTAACGGGCCGGGGGAAGTCTTAGCAGATGTGGAGAAGGCAGAGCTGCTCGACACTTACTCTGCTTCAGTCTTCACTGATAAACCCGAGCTGCCCAGGCACCTCTGAAGGATTATTTGGATCGGGGGGGGCGAGAACAAGCGAGAGGGTTGGAGCATTTGACGGGCGCGAGTGAATTCCAGTGGACAAGGCCGGGCGAGCGTCCTGGCAGGGTCCCGAGGGACCGGCACAGATCTCGGGGCCCTTGGCAATGATCTTCATGGCGCTGGGGGGCGGGCCAGGTACCAGAGGGCCGGAGGAGGGCTGGCGTCGCGCCCGCTACGAGAGGCACGAAGGACCTGGGGACTATGACGGGGTCATCTCCGTGCAGCGCCGGCGCAGATCTCAGGGAGGCCGTTTGCAGGCGCTGGGAGGAGGAAGGCCTGGTCCCGAGCAGCCGGCAGGGTTTGACGGAAAACGAATCGTATCCAACAAACCCGACCTCCTTCCCTGACAAGCCCTGCTTGGCGGGTATCGAGCGTCCGGGCTGCGGCGCGGCTTCGACCAGGTCCCCCACAGCCGTCCCGGGAGCAGGTTGGAGAAATGCGGGCTGGACAGAGCTGCGGTGCGGCGGGTGGACAGCTGGCTCAACAGCCACAAGCAAAGGGCAGCGATTAACGGGTGCACGCTGGGATGGCAGGAGGTTTCGAGTGGGGTCCCACAGGGTCTGTCCTGGGCCCGGCGCTGCAGCGTGCTTGTTAACGATTTGGATGCTGGCGTAGAAAGCTTCTCGAACAAGTTTGCAGACAACACAGAATTGGGAAGGACTGTGAACACGTCGGAGGACGGCAGCACAATTTGGAAGACTCTTGACAGGTTGGAAAGCCGGGCTGGAGCTCAGGGGACAAGACGGGACAGCTCGGTCCTGACACATGCCAGCTGCTGCAGCTCGAGGAGAATCGTCAAAAATACAGATACGAAATGGGGGGCACCTGGCTGGACCGCCGCTCCGGGGAGAAGACCTGGGGGTCTTGGCAGACACGGACTTGACTATGAGTCCGTGGCATGATGCGGCCGCACAAAAGGCAGGAGTGGTTTTGGGCTGCATCAATGGCAGCACGAGGTGCAAGACATGGGAGGCGACGGTGCCTCTGCTCGGCACGGGTTAGACCGCGTGGTTTTGGGCTCCATATTTGAAATGCTGTGAAAGGAGGGAAGGTCCAAAGGCAGCGACAGAGGTGCTCAAGGGCTGGCAAAGCAAGTCCTCTGGGGAGAGGATGAAGCACCTGGGTGTGTTCAGCTTCTAGAAAAGGTGCTTAAGAGGGGACACAGCCGTGGTCTGCAGACACCCGAGGGGCTGCCGGCGAAGAGGGGAAGCGCCTTGTCTCCTTCTGCAGAGCGGAGGATGCGGCGCCACGGCTGGAAGTTGCAGCAAAGTGCGTTTAGACTGGAGGTACGGAAACACTTCCTCACTGGGGCTAGCGGGGCAGTGGGGCAGGCACCAGGAGAGCGCACAGCTTCCCGTGCTCGAGCAGAGGCTGGCCGGGCGCTGGCCAGGGGGGATCTGGGCGCAGCGATGCCCGTGCTCTGCTATGGGGATGTCCAAGGCTTTTGGGTTGTGCTGGTCGCCCCCTTCCCCTGTTCTATCTCCGTGTGTTGCCGGGTTTTTAACCTCCCCCCGAGCGCTGGGTGCTGCAGCGCAGGCTGGGGCTGGGCTGGGCCAATGCTCCTGCTGGCACCCACCCTGCAGGGTCTTGCCCCCGCGCTGCACTGGGGCAGGAAGGGGTTTCCCCCCCACTCAGACTGGTGCGCACTGGTGGGGGTTTCCCCTTCTCCTGCAGCGGGGGCACGGCCTGGGCCGGGGGTCTCTGCAGCGCCCACGACCCCCCGGCAGCAGCAGGAGGTTGGCGGCCGCGGCCCCCCTGCATCCCAGGGGCAGGGCGGGGGCGATGCCTGGGGCTGTGCCGTGCAGCTCTGAGGTGGCACACGGGGTTTGGACGGGGCTGATCCTGCCTCAGGCAGGGCTGGGACTGGATGCGACCCCGCAACAGCCGGCCGGACTTCTGTGACCGATCCTTTAAAAGCCGCGCGCTGGAAAACCAGAGCCTTGCAACGGCAGGTGCCGTGCCCACGCTGCGTGCGGCCCCTTCGTGTCTTGCAGCGGCGGGGCTGTCGCCTGCTCCCCTCGACGCGGGGCAGGGCTGTCGCCTGCTCTCCGCAGCACCGGCTTCTGCCTGGGCTGAGGGAGGGGCTGGTGGGGCACCTGGCCGGTACCCCACGTTCGCTGGTTCCTCGGGGCCCGATGGAGCCATTCGAACCCCTGGACCCCGGCCTCTTGTGAGCGCACCCTGCGGCCCGCCCGGCGCCCCCGCCCCGAGCCCTGTTCTCCAGAGTGTCCGGCCTCCCGGGCCAGGAGCACCGGTGCTTCCCTCGGTGAGCTCCGGCCCCAGGGGCTGGGGGGTCGGTGGCTCGTGGATGCGTCTGGGGCCTCGTTCCCAGCTCTGGGTTCGTGCAGCCGCCTGCGCTGGATTAGCAAGCCTGTCGGTCCAGATTTCCTCCCCCTGAAAGCGTTGGCGCAGCAATCGAGATGCTTCGCAGATTGGGCTTCTTTGGGCCTCGCTGGAAGGAGCTTTCTCCAGCTCTTGAATCGTTCTGGCTGTTCCCCGTCGACGACTCCGTGGTCTGCCAGCCAGCTCTTCGCCCCCCTCCCCAGAATATGTTCCTCATTAAGCAAGCACCTCTGTCGGACTCGTGCAGTCTTGACGGGGCCTGGTTTCCATAAAGCAGGGCGGGCACGCCTCTGCGTGCTGCTGAACGCGGCTTTGGCCTGTCTGCTACGCTGCCCAGCACGGATGTCATCCCGACGGGATCCCAGCTCTCGGGGCCGCCCCAATGCCCTCTTTGCACGTGGAGATGACACTCGCGCTCTTCGGGGCCTGCCCTGCCCTGCCATCCTGGGGTCCATTCGATGGACATCAGAGTGCCCGCGGCCACCTCGGCCAGCACCGTCGGTCTCCAGCCTGTGGGCTTTGTCAGAGGCCAATTCCTGGTAGACCTGGCTTGTCCCCTCGTGACTCCTGGATGTACTCGGTTGTGCGGCACGTCGCCCTGCTCCTTTCCGAATGCAGAACCAGTGTTGACTGCACAGTCCTGCCATTCGGCATCAGTAACGGCAGCTCTGTGTTGCCCCGTCCAGTCGTGGGCTACGTCCTTGCGAGGGGTTTTCCTGCCCGTCACCTTTCCATTGCTTCTCCTTCCAGCTGTGGGTCTTTCCCTGGCATCCTTGGCAGACACACGATCGTAGACAATGAGGTGGGAAGAGACCTCAGGAGGTCACATCTAGTCCGACCCCCTGCTCCAAGCAGGACCAGCCCCAACTACATCATCCCAGCCAAGGCTTTGTCTACCCGGGTCTTACAAACCTCCAAGGGTGGAGAGTCCACTAGCTCTCTGGGGAGCCTGGCCCAGTGCTTCATCACCCTCCTCGTGATACAGTTTTTCCTAATATCCAACCTCAACTTCCCTTCCTGCAGCTTGAGCCCATTGCTCCTTGTCCTGTCATCTGCCCCCACTGAGACCAGCCCAGCTCCATCCTCTTTGCAGCCCCCCTGCAGGGAGGTGAAGGCTGCTATTCAATCCCCCTCCGTCTTCTCTTCTCCAAACTAAATCAGCCCAGGTCCCTCAACCTCTCCTCACCAGTCCTGTCCCCAGCCCCACAACCATTTCCTTTCCCCTCCGCTGGACTCTTTCCAATGTGTCCACATCCTTTCTGTAGTGGGGCCCACAGCTGGACACAGGACTCCAGATGTGGCCTCCCCAGTGCCGAATAGAGGGGAGGAATCACTGCCCTCCATCTGCTGGCAGTGCTCCTCCCAACGCAGCCCAGGGTGCCGTTGTCCTTCCTGGCACCGAGGGCACACTGCTGGCTCCTGTCCAGCTTCTTGTCCCCTGTCCCCCCAGGGCCTTTTCTGCAGAGCTGGTGCCCAGCCCGTCACCCCCGCCTGCACCGGTGCAGGGGATTGCTCCTCCTCAGTGCAGGACTTTGCCCTTGTCCTCGTTGAACCGCATGAGATGTCTTCTGGCTCAATCCTCCAATGTGTCCCCAGGGGTTTATTACACTCATAGACCTGCAGAGCCATGGGGCGGGCAGGGAGCTGTGGGGTCGCATCCAGTCCCAGCCCTTGGAGGTGTTTAAGACTCGGGTGGACAAAGCCTTGGCTGGGATGATGTAGTTGGGCTGGTCCTGTTTGGAGCAGGGGTTGGACTAGATGTGGCCTCCCGAGCTCCCTTCAACCCTCCTTGTCTGTGGTGCTATGACCAAGGGGCCACACGAGCTAATGCAGGTAACAGGACAAGAATCCATAGTCCCGGCTCAGACCGTGCTGATACCGTCCAGTCTGGATGACCGACCTTCCCAGAGCCTCCATCGTGGACCTCAGAGGCTCGTCTTGGCCAGTGGTGCTTCAGAGGTGAAGGCAGACTCGAGTGCGAAACGGTGGAAGAAGTGAAGCATCTTGCGTGCGTTTGAGAGGGCACCGGTCCAGTCCAACAGCAAAGCCCGGGCTTTCCCGTAGGGTCGCCTGCTTACAGAAGGGCCGGCGCTGGCTGGCACCCACGTCCAGCCTGTCCGCGCTCCTGGAAGCGGGCGAGCACGCCCCGGTTATTGCAGTCCGTGCCATCCGGCCCAGTGACGGCGCGGTCTGTGTTGGTGCAGGGTACCGCAGCTGGCATCTGGGCCCAGAGCAAGGTGTGATGCCTCGGTGAGGAGTGGGGCAGCCCGGTCCCGTCCGTGAGCGGGGACAGGTGTGTCCCTCGTGGCTGCCCCGATGGTGGTCATTTTGCAGTGACCTTCAGTGCTCTGGCCCTATGACTGGTCTTGGGAGCCGGGGCTGCCGCTGACTCCCGTCTCCCCTCCTCCCCCAGGTGCGGAAGCATGGGGCGCAGCTCCTGGCCTCCATGATCAATGGCATGGACGACAAGGACGACCCGCACAACCTGGTGGCGCTGGAGGCCATGTCCAGCCTGTCCAAGCTCCTGGACCACGTGGAGGAGAGAGACATCCACTCCATGCTCCTCCACATCGCCATCCGCATCCGGCCCTTCTTCGACAACGTGAGCGAGCCATGGGGGGCCGCCCCAGAGCGGGTGAAGGGCTTGGGGGGGCTGCAGATATGCGTGGGGCACGGAGCTGTGAGCCGCAGGCTGCCTCTGCTCCCCGGCAGCTACTTATCGGGGCCCACAAAGCATCCCATAGCAAAGCCCCGGTTGTGGGAGCTAACGCAGGTGGAGGTCGGGGCGGGAGCTAGCGCAGGGGCATGCCCTCCTGTCCGGGGCTGGCCTCTGCTCTGGGCGACCCTGGCGCAAGGGGCGGCCGGGCCGGGCCAGGCCGAGGCACCAGGAACTCGGTCGCTTGGTGGCGGGAGGGCCTGGCCCCACCAGGACACGGGTGCGCCTTCCCTTGGAGCCCCCGGCGGGGCAGTGGGCAGGAGGGGCCAGGCGGGCTGGCGCTGGGCAGCTGCAGCGGTGCAAGCACGCCTCGTGCCCACCACCGGCGACACTGCCCCCCACTCAGGAGAGCCACGAGCTGCGCCAGTCGTCCATCCTCCTGTTCGGGAGCCTGACCAAGTTCAGCGAGGGCAGCTGCGAGGACGTCTTCTTCGAGCAGATCCTCAACGGGCTGGTGACGCTGCTGCTCCACCTCCAGGACCCCCAGCCGGAGGTGGTCAAGGCGAGTGCCCAGGGGCTTGGCCTGGACGCCGGGGCAGGGCAGGGCAGGGCAGGGGCCCGTGGGGCAGCCTGTCCACGGGGAGCTGGGCCTTGCGGGGGTGCGGGATACGCCGCTGCCCGGCGGTGCCTCATGCTCTAACCACTCCGCGCCGGGTCCGTCTCCCCCGCCGCAGGCCTGCAAGTTCGCCCTGCGCATGTGCGGCCCCAGCATGGGCTGCGAGGGGCTCCGCGACATGTTCCGCAACCACCTGCGGGAGGAGCGGGGCCTGCACTACGGCGAGTTCCTCAACCACGTCTGCAAGCACCTGGTGAGCGGGCGCTGCTCAGCCCTCCCGCGCCCGTGCCCGCCACCCAGGGCCACCCTGCAGGTTCCCGTGCCCGGTGGACGGGTGACGGCCCGTTGTGCTGACCCGCGCCCTGGAGGAGCGGCGCCTGCCACGGCTCTTCCTCCAGCGGCTCTGCGGCCAGCTCCGTCCCTTGCTCCCTCTGCACGTGGGCCTGCATCGGGCCCCGGCGCTGTGGGAGGCTGGGCCCTTCCCGCTGCCAGCGAGGGCGCTCGGATGTGCAGCGGTCCCACGGGGCTGGGCCCCCTCGCCATCGTGCTGCTTCTGGCCGTGCTGATCACGGGGTTCCCCTGACGCCGGCGGGTGCGCGGGGCAGCGGGCCTGGCGCTAGCCCTCGTGGCATTGCGCACGTGGGCTCCGGGGGAGCCCTGCCACCCCAGCGCTCTGCCCAGCTCACCCCCCGCTCTCCGCCCTAGATGCAAACCTACCCCGAGATGCTGCCTCGCCTCATTTCCACCAACCTCTTCTACTTCAAGAGCATCTGGCCAGACCTCCGCGCGGCTGCGCCCATGTTCATCGGTAAGGCTGCTCCCGGGCCGGCCCCTGCCTGTGTCCTGGATGCGAAAAGTGCCTCGGGGGTGCTGGGCCCCGACTGCCCCTTGCCATGTTGTGGGACTGGCGCCAGGATCCCTCGCTCTGGGGCCTGCAGTGGTGACTGGTTTGGGGCCTCGACAAGCGGGGCCTGGGGGTCAGTCCGCCCCAGCTCTGCGTGCGTGGCCTCATCCGAGCCATTGCAGAGCACGGCCCTCGCCCGCCGCTACCGGCTGCAAACACCCAGAGCACTTTCAAACTGCCCTGGGGGGCAAGGGCACTGTCCCCGTCATGGCCGGCAGGGGCAGGTGTTCATGCGCAGGCGACGGGAGACACGGCCAGGCTGACCCGACCCTCCTCTTGCCTTGCCTCCCCTCCCCTCCCGCTGCAGGTTTCCTCGTGCTGCACGTGGACCCCGAGCACTGCCGGCAGGTGGACCTGGACCTGCTCATTGCCGGTGAGCACCGGCGCGGTGCCCGTGGGGCTCCAGTATCGGCACGGGCGGATCCCTGCCTCTCTCCAGCTGGGTGCTGTGGCCCAACAGCGTGGGAGCTTTAAACGGGGCTCTGAACAAGAGTGGGGGGATCACTGGGTTACCTGCAGGGCCCAAGCCCCCGCCGCTCTTGCTGGCGAGGCGAGTTCCCCTGCGCCCAGCAGTCGGAGCCCGGTGCAAGCTCTCCCGCCCTGGTGCAGTCTCGGGCCCTGGCGCTGAACCTGTGCCTCGGTGGGGCACAGACTGGCCGTCCCGCAGCTCCCGCAGGCCCAGGGGTGACATCCGGGGGTCGTCCGTCCTGGCGGGCGCGGGCAGCGCATGGTGTTCGCTGGCGGTCCCGGCCGCGGCCTGGCGCCCGCTGCGACGAGGGCTGGAGACCGCGCCGCCCTCGGCCTCCTGGGCGCCGTCCCCGGGCATCCGGCCGGGCGCGCACGGCACTCGCCAGGAACGCCAGGCCTGCACGTCACGTGTCTGCCGTTAAAGGGCCCAGCTCGTGCTCGTTAGGGAGGGCTCATAAAGGCGCCGAGTGAGGCTGGTGGCATTTTGGAGCGGAGTTAAGTAATTTTCCTGGATTTTGGGGATTTTTTCCCTGTCACCAGTGACCTCATAGCATAGAGTAATGCATGGAAACTCTCAGCGCCTTCCAAGAGGGAGCTTAAAAAACACTAAAAAAGGAAAAACTATCTTTCCGCTGGCTCCCCGCGCCCGGCCAGAAGAAAGAGGCCTGTCTGTTTGAAACAAGGGAAAGCGAATCCGTGCGCGAGTGAGTAATCGCTGGAGCTGGCCGGCCTGGCCCGGCCTCCCCAGCTTCCCGTAGCGAGTGGATTAGCCGAGCAGGGCCGCGGGGCTGGCGTCGGGCCCCGACTTGCGGCGCTCGGTGGGCTTGGGTGCGAGGCCCCCGGGAGCAGGAAGCTGCGGGTGCGCGAATCGGCACCTCCCGGCGCGGCGGCAGGCGAGCGTGAATGGGCTCCTGGAAAGGTGGCGGTGCCGGGGCCGCTGGAGAGACCCCCTGGCCAGGCTCCTGCGGCCGCGAGCTGCTCCAGTCGCGGTGATGGGGCAGGGCCGCGCTGTCACGCTCCCACGTGGCCGCCTGCGAGGCCTGGCGGCGGGTCCTGCCTTGGCACTGACGCCCTGCGCCGTGGCCCTTCAACGCCCGTCCCCGGGGGCCAGGGGATGGATGCCCCTGGCACGGGTTGTACAGGCCCGATGCTGGCTGGGTGGAGGCCCGGCTGGGCCCCGCTGGCAGGCGCCTCCTGCTCACGCCTCTCTCCTTGCAGCCCTCAACCTGCTGCTGAAGGACCCGGTCCCCGCTGTGCGCATGAAGGTGGCAGAGGCTCTGGGCCGCCTCGTCCGCGTCCTGTGAGGCCTCCCGGCCCCCGCTCCACCAAGCAATACGGTCACGGCCCTGACCCGGAGATGCCGAAGCCGCTCCGTGAGTCACGGCCACGTCTTCCCCGCGCCGGACTCTGCTCCCCCGTCTCCTGCCGCGGCTGTGGGGAGCCCGCGCCCACCCCTCGCACATCACGCTGGATCAGCCTGGCCCCCGTGGGGGTTGACGTCCCTGCCAGAGGCTGGGGTTTACCCTCCACGCTGCCCAGGAAGCTGCCGGGGGCTTCTCTGCAGACACGTTCGCACCCGCACGGTCCCTAGCTCACACGGGCACGCGTCTTGCTCCCGGCGCTGATGGCACCTGCAGGCTCCTGGACATGGAGAGCACCGAGGACCCCTCACCACGGCTCGCGCGCACGCCTCCCCTCCTCCTGGCGCTCTGTGCGGCCGCACTCCTGCCCCCGGTGCCGGCCCGGGGCTGCCCGGGAGCTCTGCTGGGTGCATGTAGCTGCCCCCTCGCACCCAGCACCTGTACATAGACCAGACTGGACTTATTTTTTAAATAAAGTGGTTTTGCTTCTCCCTGGGTTTGGCAGCGTCTCGCTGGGGTCTGCCTGCCGCCTCGCCCC